GCAACATTAGTGGACCAAAAAACTTGATGATTGTACAGATAGTAACGCATAATTACACCTGAACAATCATCAGAAACTTGTCAACAAGCTTTCAGATATGTTATAACAACAACGTCTACTAGTAACTAACTCATCTAAGTTTTTTTTGAATGATCGATCAGTACAATTAGGTTTTTATTAAAAAAAAAAAGTTTTTTTTTTTGCTATATTTTACCAGCTTTTAGGTGTAACAGGTTGAAGCAAGCCTCAAATAGTGAAAAATTCTATTCTTCATCAACTATTGCTTTTTGTAATTAAAGTTTTTGTTTAAAACAGAAGTCAGATGGCACAAAAATATAGAAAATATGACTTTTAGAAAAACATAAAATTTTCATGAATTTTATTGACAATTTTTCATGTTAATCCATGCTACACAACACAAGTATATACATTCTTATACTGAAAATTTGTTTCAGATAACAACTTTGAATCTTCAAAGTACGTATATTGAGATATTTACACAAAACACTTACAGCTTTTGCAGTTCTTTGCTAAAAACGAAAGTAGGAAGTTTTGTATGTAGTTTTGGCTGTATAATTGACACAGAATATAGAGCAATTTTTTGGTACAATTAGTTTAAGCAGTTCAAATTCTTTTTCTCTTTACTACATTTATTGATAATATAGCAAATAAATTCCATTTTTTTCGCTGTACAGTTTGTTTAATCGGAAAATGACTTCAAATTTTAATCACAACGAATACATTTTGAACAAAAGAAAGATCAATTATTGACTAGATTAGTATGCAAATAACGAATATTGATGTAAGGGGAAGAGGGGAACTAGGGTGAAATAGTTCATCTGCCATCGAATTCTACCCTATTTCAGTTTAACAATTCTTTCTTAGCTCAATTACCAAACAAAGACTCAGTTTTGTTTACCAGCACCCTCTGCGTACCAACAGTTTAAAATGGTAACTGATTTGATGTTATATTTTGAGAAATTTTTGTACTCTCTGGTAGCTAAGTTTTTTTGAACAAAAAAAGACCATCTAAGCACATAAAATGAGAAATAGTTTATTTCGTCCTTTTCAATTTTGAAAATTATACACTGCTCAATAGCTCTCAGTTTTAGCCAATGCGGTAGCTGAAAACTATTGTATCAACTGAAATACAAGAAAAAACAAAATTTCAAATCACTGTCAGAAACTGCAAATTTTAAAACTAACTGTTTCAGAAGCAGTAAACAAATGGTATACATTTTTCACATTTTTGCTCTTCATACTTTGTACACCTCCTAACAAAATCATCTTTTCTAAGCCGTATTTTATGATAAAAAACAAATTTTAATAGTTTTTTCACTTCTGTTTCTGTACTGTAATGGTGATAATTTTGGACCTGTATACTACAGATTTTGCTGGTAAAGCAGGTTCAATGGCGTTACAGTACAGATTCTAATGGAATATCGTTATTGAATTTTATTCTAATGGAATAGAATATCTTTATTTGATGAAAAAAGATGACGACGGCGAAGAAGAAGAAGAAGAAGAAGAAACAGTAGTTTGTTCTGATCCTTTTATTGTCCCTTTTTTTGTTTGTCCTTTTTTTCTTATAGTGATGTCCTCCTTCACGAAACACTGTTGTTGATCGTGGTATTGTATTAACAACTTTATACAGTTAGCCGTTATTTTTTGATGCTTTTTTCTTTTCAACTTTTTTTTTCTTCGCTACTAAACTTGCAGCTGTTTAAATACTAGTTTTTTCTTTTTTCTTTTATATACATATATATTTTTTTTAGCTTATCTCAGCGGACTGTATTAAACAAATTTTAGAATTAAA